CAGCTGCCAATGCACCTTGTCATCAGCCTCTCACATCCAGCTTGCTTCCAGCCTCAGTCCTGAGTATCCCCCACCAGCTCCAAGTCTCCTCATGCTTTCAGCCCCTGAGTTCCAGGCTCCCTCACCCCTGGGAATCCACCTCCCCTCTCATATTTCCTCATTCCCTGTTGGTCTTTTTTCCTCTTCTGCTGTCATGAAAACTGAGGCACCACATGATAAACTGTCTCTCCTAAGGTCACTGTGTTTTTAGCTCTGACTGAGAAGTCATTTTTCAGCATGAATAACACAACTCTTCATCATTCTACTTTGAAGCAATTGCTTCAGCAGCAGTAGGTTGTCTGGGACAGCCAGGAAAGTGGGTTCTGGCCCCCGTGCCCCAGAAAAAAGGAAGCCAGACAGCAGGCCCAAAGGCAGGAGCAGACACTCTTGCTTCCGCTATTTCCCTTCTCTGTTTGGTTTCCATGGGGCCTGTGCTGGGGTGGGCAGGGATTCCAAAGGGACAGATTTGTATTCTTCAGCAAAATGAACCAAATTTCAGGGTGGGGTAAAAAAGAGGCTTCAGAAAACTTTGGATGCATAACATGTTCAGAAATCCAGCTCCAAGGCTAATTTTGAGAGCACTTGATGACTGCCATTCCTACCCGGTGTTCTTTATTAGGAGCCAAAATGCCTTTCAAGATGCACCTTTATAGTGTGCAAACATTTTCCATTCACTTCACAACAACAATGGCAATGTCTTGTTTTGAACACTGACACTAAGAAATGTCTCTCCTTTAGGGTATTTTTTATTTATTGCTTTGTTTTGTTTGAAATTATATGCTGCCCTGTGAGATATTATTTGCTTTCCTTTATGTTTTAAACAGTTCTGTAACTCAGCCAGCCAGCAGCCCCCTCTGAGTCATCCATATTATCTGGGACTTATGATTAAAATTCACTAAAAAACAAAGAAACTCAGAGCTAAAAATGGGCCTGGCAAGTCAGAACTCCTAAAGACCTAAGCTTTGATAAGATGCTGTGTCAGACAGACTAAACAAAGTTGGGAAGAAGACACAGTTTATCTTTTTTGTCATCATGTCGTCGCTTTCAAGCTCAGATCCTCAATTCTAGCACCGGTCTGAGCGCCATCTTATAACTCATCTTTGTAGGACCTGTTAGCTAATAGTCTTTAAAAAGGCAGGGTATTTTTCTTTGCTACTCCTCAAATACTGATGCTTTTCAGGTTATTTGCATATTATGAAAGCTTTTAGGAGTTTGTGTCTAATGGTGAGCTGTGAAGCATAGTAACATGGAGAGAAAATGGTATTGAATTTCTAAACTCTTCGCCACTCAGGGGCTTGGTGGTAGAGGGAGGGCAGTGATGGAAACAAGCTTCACTTCCCCTCGCAGCACAAAAAGCTGGTCTAAAAGGAGAAACATTAAGCATCTGAAACAGTCACTCATCTATCCATCCTTCCACCCATCCTTCCATCCAAAACACATTTCATTAAGCTCCTCCTATGATCCAGGTTCTATGCTGGTGCTAAAAATCATACAGTGGGCCCTCCATGGTGGCACAGCGGGTTAAAGCACAGCACTAAGAAGCTAAAGCCACTTCAGCATGAGTTCAATCCCCAGCCCCAAAGGTGACCCCCATGGTGTGGCAGACATCTCCTGACCTGCCCGCTGCTACTCTTGTTACAGGGAAGCCCAAAGTGGACTGGGCCGCCTGTCTGTGGGGCCTCACCCACATGCTCACAATTCGGTTATACTGCAGGTGCACACAAAAGGGTCAATAGCGGGTTTATTTACAAAAGGGGAAAGGAGTAGGAAACAACCCAGGGAAAGAGAGCGGGATACAAAGTCACTGGTACACCTTACGGCTAGGCTGACTGAACACACCAAGTCACGCGGTCAGGAGAGCCATTTCCCAAGCAAGAGACTGTGAGAGAGTGCAAGATGCAATCACACCCTATTTATCCCCCAAATGTCCCAGAATTCCTGCTAGCTCTGCCCTTGGGTCCTCGCAGTTCTCTCCCTGGTACTGCTGGGAGTTGTAATTTCCAATCACTGGAATAAGGGAGTAGTGACCAGAAAGCTGGAGTAGGGGTTGGAGTCCATAAGACTGCAGAGTTCCTTTAGGACATCCTTCCCTTTAACACTCTCAGTAGTGTACTTCATCAGTCAGCCTGTTCTGCTCCCTACTCTGTCTCTGGTGAAGCCCCTCACCATTCCTGCACCTCTGGCCTGTACCCCAGTTCTGTATGCATAAATAAATAAATCTTTTAAAAAATATATCCCACAGCAAGCAAAATCGACAAAAATCCCTGCCTTTATGGAGCTTCTATTCTAGAACTGATAACAGAACATATCAACATACTAAGTAAACTAGGCAAATAGTAAACAAAAATCTGTAGTTCTCTTACTTGAATTATAAGGAAAATGTACAATTCTGGACCATGAGGCACTAGTATGATTTTTGTGGCAAACCCACCAGCACCAGGTCACTTTGTGGCCCACCCCTGTTCTCTTTATCAGGCACGCTTTGCCTGGAAAAAAAAAAAACAAAAACAGATCTACAAGAACTGACTTCCACTTAAAATGGGGCAATGTTTCCCCCTTTATAGCCCCTTCTTTCACTGAGCCTCAGTTTCTTCATCTGTTATATAAGCAGATGGCATCATGGAGAATTTTAATAGAAATAATACGTAAGAAATCCCTAGACACAGTGTCTAGCATGGAGTGTGTAAGACATTCAATTTTTAGTTACCTCAAAGGTCATTATAATGGGTGCCTGAACCACACATATTTATCAAGCTGTCCTTTAATTCTCACCCTACCTCTGCCCCCTCCACCTGGCATCTTCTTCCACCTGGCACATGCTATTTCATTATTCAGAATGTTTCCAGATCAAAGGTTTAGTGGATAATGAGAACTGTTGGCCCCAAATATCTTAGAAGGACTCAAGATTCTCTACAAAATGGCCCCAAACTACCTCCCTGGGCTGGCTCCTCTGCATACCACAGCCCTTTCTGCTCCCACTACCTAGGTCCACACTGCAGGGTTTTCAGCTGAGTGTAAGTTCCTCCAGGGCTGATTGCTCAGTTCTAAAAAAAAAAAAGGAGAGCCTGGAAAGAAAAGGCCATGAACCTTCTTTTTCTTCACTGCAGCTTTGTTAACAGCTTTCCCCATCACCCACACACTACCACAGCCACTACTGGTTGGTGGGAGACTTCTCATCACCTCCTGTTCAGGAGGCAGCTTGGAGAACCCACAGGCAGTCCCTAGTGTGGTCTGTATGGAGCTGCTTTCTTCACCAGCTCTCTTGCACAGATACTCATTACCTCTACCCCTGCTGTTAGTTTATCACACAGTACAAAGCATACATTCTTAAAATCAGGCACAGCACTGGACTGAGAAGTATGGCCTGGTCCCGTGGCTCCTGATGGGCTCAGCTGAATAAAAAATGCCCCCTTGATTAATGTCTCTCATGCATCACAACACAGCCTGTTCCCAGGCCCACCCGATTCTGGAGTGTGCAGGGCAGATGTGGAGAAAGCACTGAGCTGTGCCCATTTGCTCCTGATTGGAAAAGGGTGGGGTGTTTTTATATGCCTCACCATTCAGACATTCTTCATGCTGCTATTTTTATCAACAGTAATCATTAAATTGGTGTCAGATGGGCCACTCCAGTTTCTCACCCTGAGGAGGGTGATGGGACTCGGTGAGTTTTTTTTACAGAAAAGGATGTGGGTTGTGATCCACCCAGATGCATCTTCAGAGCCCTGGCCTAAATCAAACTCCTCTATTCCTGGACAGTGTCCATGTGGCAATCAGAACAAGGCCCTTATCATTGCTGGTTGACCTGATTCATCTAGCAGAGATATATGCTGAGCCCTTTCTAAATGACAGACATTGAACAAGACACTAGGCAGTCACCAAAAAATCTCACATCTACCTCCTCATATTTCCCAGAAAGATGTCATATGAATTAATAGTGTCTTCTGAGCTGTGCAGGTTATAGATGCATTGACAAGGACATCATGGGAAAAGGCTGGGTTCTGCCTGAGCCCCAGGAAATCTTCCTAAGGTGTTAGCAATCAGCAGGCCTTCAAAGATAAGTAGAGGTAGCTGGATAGAGCCATGGAAAAGGAGCCAAGGATTTCAAAAGTAGCATGAAAACCATTCTAGGTTCATTCAAAGTTGCTTTGTGAATTCAGCTCTCCCCAAGAGAGTCCAAGGATACACCTGTGTGGCTCCTGGCCTGAAAGCCTGCAGAGAAGATGAGTTCTAGGCAGGAATGTCCCTTGCCTGCTCCAAAGGCTCTGCCCATTCTCACTCTGGGTTTCAGAAAACTTGAGCCAGGCTCAGAATTAAGGAGTGGCCTGCAGTGGCCATCATGATACAGGAAGTTGAAGTTAGACACAAACCTGAGCCCTTCACCATGGTCTGCTCATGAGTATGGTGTTCAAGAATCTTATTCCTGAGTCAGAACGTGGCAGCTCCTTCACTATCCCCAGGGAAAGAAACATGGTTGTCAGATGGAGACAAGCACAGAATTCCCCAGATTCTAAACCTTGCAGTCTAAACCTTGCAGTCTAGGCATTCAACTAAATGCCTAGAAATTTAGGGTGAAATCTAACAGAAAACTGAAATGGGGGATGACAGGGAAGTGATAGAAATGTGGCACTGAGTGGTGGCAGAAAGTGCATTTTTCAGATGTTCCAGCCAGTCCCGGGCTGGGCATGCTGGTTTTTGTTTCCGCTGATCAGGCATTCCAAACCCCAACCCCTCAAGTCAGGTGGATGCAGAGGCCCAGCCCAGTAGGGGGCATCAGGTGTCACCCAGTGGGCCTCCCCATCAGTGAGGCGTCATCAGGAAGGACCTGAGCCCCTGTCCACTTAGAAGCCCCTTCACTGTGGGGCCCTTGGATCAGGGCTGCAGGGTGAGCTGACTCAAGTGACAGTGAAATTAATGGAATCCAGGTGCTGTGACTGAGACCATGTCTCTGTGTCTCCAAACAGGGGTGAGAGAGGAAATGTCACTAGGACGCCAGGAAGCTTTTGAGATCTTCAAGCGGGACCATGCTGACAGCGTCACAGTTGAAGACAACAAACAGATTCTGAAGCAGAGGTAAGGCTGGTTCAGAGAGCAGCTGGTCCTCCCAGGCTTAGCCAGGCCAGCCCAAGGGAAGCTTGCTACTCTGTCCTCCCTGGTCTGCTCACCCTAACTTCTAGAAGAAAGACAACACCATATGCAGCTTCACACTGCATCATGGCCAGCCTGGTACAATTGGGTATATATATATACACATACACACACACACACACACAACACAACCTTCATATCACATAGTAAACCTCAGCCACCTGTGACCCTGTACATAGCTACTGTTCCAAAGGCAGGAGGGAGACTCTAAAGCCAAATTATCATCATAGATTTCCAGGCCTCATCTGTACTAAGAGATCACTCGTGCACCTCCTAGTAGGAAAGGAATTGCATTCATTTTGCAGCCAGAGAGGCCCTTAGTGTGATCTCCTCGTGAGAAGCAGAGCAGGCAGTAGTGTCTGCTGATGTGTTGTCCAGCAAGGTTGTATTCTAGACCCTTTAGGACCAACTTGGAGGTAGATTACTTGCTTAGCTAATCTATGAACTTATATGTATATCCTCAAGCTGTAACAAATAGAAAGACAGCCAGCTATATGGATAGAGTGCAGAAGAGAGTTCTGGACTATGAACTCATCTGACACATGTGATGGCACATGGTAAATATTTCAAAAGCTGTTGGATTAAAATGAGATCCAAGATTGGGAGTCATATGCTATAAATGATAATTCAAAGGAGCCACAGACATGGACTAGCTCTCTCATGAAAGCATGATGCTAGAGGGTCGAACCACAGGGGGAAGTTTTAAGGGAAAGAGGAAACCAAGGTAGAGATTTAGAAGCAACATAAAGACTCCTCTGAAGGGGCGGACTGGGCGAAGAGACTGTTCCTGAGAGCCAGGAGGTGGCAGCTCCATAAACCAGTGTTTTACACTGATGCACAGGAGGAAGCTGGCAGGTGCACGGATTTGGCACATAGGATGTCATGAGTTGGGGTGTTGGGACCGAAGGAGTGAGTGGAAGGAATCATGCAGCTAGGGAAAGAGAGTGAATAATGTGTACAAAAATTTGTGACACGTGAAAACATTTTGGAAAAAGGAGGTAGCTTGAAGAGAAGGGAAGTTTGTTTCAGAACGGAAGCAAATTGGTCAAGACAGAAGGCCCCGGAATCAGCCAAATGAGGGAGCCGTAGAGTGGAGAAAGGCTGGGAGGCAATCTGGAACTCAGGGAAGGTGAGCCCAAAGGAGCCTGATTAGAGAAGCAAGGCAAGAGGTTAAGTAAAATGACCTCTGTTTTTCCTCTTTCAGACTTAAGTTTCTTAAGAGACTTGTGATACAGCTGCCACAGGGAATGGAAATGAAGGCAGACCTAGGGGAGAAAATGATAAGGGAAGGCAAGGAGGGCCCAGCTTAACCAGGGGCTTTTTCTCTGAGTGTGGGTAGTGGGAATGGGGGTCTTAGCTCACTTTAGTAATCCAGTGCAGGTTTTAGGAATGTAGCCCAAAGCTTCCCTTCTGTTAAGTCAAAGAACTACGTGCACTCCTGTGACCATGTGACCCAGCAACTTCACTTCTGGGACTCTCTCCCAAGAAGTTTAGCCATGGGTTAGAAAGGGACATGTGTGAGAATTCTCACTGCAGCTCTGTTTGTCACCCAGAAGGGCTGGAAGTCTCCTAGGTGTCCACTGCAGAAGACAGAGAGGTTAAATAATGGGGAAGCTGTCAGAAAGTCGGGTGCAGCAGGTGGAAGCAATGGATGAGTGTATACATACCAATAAGGTGAGGTCTTAAAAGCACAGCACTGAGAACACACCATGTGTATAAATTATGAACATATGCACATAAAACAAACAACACCAGCCAGACAAAAAGATACATGTTAGCATGTTCTAACCATAAAAATGGTTATCTCTGTGGAACAGCAGAATGGGAGCAGGGCATGAGACTAAAAAGGAATGAAGGAATAAAGCTCAGGAGTGGGAGAGAAAATAAAGTGAATCTGATGGTGGAACACTCTCCCCAGGAAAAGGTACCTGTGCATATCCACACAAACTCGAACATAAGATCCCATGATTTCACACACCTTCTAATGGGAATCCAGGTTGTGGGCCATGTGTCCTTAGTGTAGTCCCCTGGAGGCTGGAACCAGATACTGTCTGTCCAAAGATGTCAAGACCCAGCACAGTGACTTCATACAACAGCAGCTTCCAAAGAACCCTCAGCTTTGTGGGTTCCTGAGACTTCAACTCTTACACCAAGGTCGCCTGGCCCTTTGATCATATTAAAGCGATCTACAGAGCTTCTAAAAGTTACCATTGCCTGGACCTGACTCCCCAGATATTGTAATTTAATTGGATAGAGCCTGAGCATCCGGTTTTCCCAAAGATTCCACTATTGAAAACCACTGGCTAGACAGTGTCCAGAGACCTTGAGATCCAGAGCCTCAGAGTGGGAATTCCAAAAGCTCTACAGGTTGAACCAATTACCAAGTGATTCTTTTGCATACTCAAGTTTAAGAACCACTGGCTTAGGAAGAACATAATACCTCATCTTTCTTATTCTAGAATTGGCACTGTTCCTGGTTCTGGTTTGTACCCTTGAGTTTAGTTCTGTTTCGAGTGGGGGCTTGGTAGGGGGGCTGGCAGAGAGGAGGATGTTGTGGTCTTCCGAGGCCTTCTAATTCAGAGCTCACTCAACTCCAGTGCGGTAGAATTTTGACAACTCCCGTGACAAATGGGCTTTGGGGTATAAAGCCGTCTAACTCACGCAGGCCAGAATGGTGATACTGGTGGTCCCATCTTTCCTTGTGGCCACAAGTGCACAAAGCTTTGTTCTGGCAAGAGATTTTCTCAGCAATAAATCAGTCCTTTTAAATAAAATGAAAAGTCAGGAGACCTGCCCACATTTTTTAAAAGTCTACATCTGGTTAATGTTACTGTAATACCAACCATTAAAGGAATATTTGGTACTGGGAGGTATCACCCAGAACCAAACTCTTTCTCAGAATTGAAGCTTTTGTTTGCATTCATGGGGAGTATTCAATTATTAGACATTACATGATCATAACTGCTTAAGGCAGAGGACTAAAAATGTTTTTATGCGAGAATAATTAACTGCAAGCCAGCACTTCTACAGCAAACATCAAACTATGGCCCCACAGATGCTTGTGGGGTGACTGACCTTAGAAATGGCCTGATGTCATATTCACATTTGCTCCCTTTCCCTCTGGTGACAGTAGCATCCTATGGAGCACCTATGGGGAGAATGTCTACGAATACAGATATGGCCCTGAAGGGTTTTATTGAGGGTGGCATTATGACATGATTCTTCCCGATCTCTACTCTGACTAGACATTCTATTAGAAGCCCTCGGCCCCTGTCTTAGCACCCCTCACAACGAGACCCTGCACCCTCCCCTTTCATTCACATTATGTCCACGAGGGACTCTGCTGTAACTGGTTTGAGAGTGGAGACATCTTGTTGGCAGAGTCTGTAACAAGGGTACTGGGCGATGACTCCCCCACACATGAGGTTTAGGCCAACTCTGCATCCAGCCTGTGGCTAGCAGCTTCCAAGCCCAGACAGAGGGACTGTGTGAGACAAGATCACTTAGGATCCCCCAGAGCGCAGGCACAGATTCAGAGTTGCAAGAAGGGACAATCCATGGTACACAGAAATTGCTGCTTTCTGTGCTTCCTTCCTCTTCTTACCTGCCCATTTGTTGCTCATATGGGGAATTTTCTGGCATCTCTCAGCTCTGCATCCCAGTCTGGGGAAAGCTGTACTGCCTGCCTGGCAACAGAAACAAGATGTTGGGACATTCATAGGATGTTTGCCCTTCTCTGAACTAGAGCACGCGAGCCAGTTCTTAAGGCAGATTTTCAGTAGGAGACAGCTACAATTCAAAATCATGACATATTCCAGGCATGACTCACCCTTATAGTATATAATAGGAAGAGAGGCTGGAAATCCTGTGCTTGGCAAATACTAGTCCCCAACATCTCACAGCTAACTTTCTTTTGTGGCAGGTCTTTCATACAAACCAAATCCCTCAGACAGAGTGCCATTAAATAACAAAAGGAGAAATAAATGGGGAGATTAACTGCAATTGGAAAGGAAAGCGTTCATAAAGTAAACTAAACCAAAAAAAGAAAAAAGAAAAAAAAGGCCCCTTCACTCAGTTGGATCCTTCAGACACAGAATAGAACAGCAATCTAAAACCAACAGGAAAACTGGACCCAGGGTAGAGAGAAATCTCCTGGCACCATCTGGAAATAACGTCCATGACAAATAGGGGTTCCCTGGTTCCTATTAGACTTCTATTCAAGCCTTTATTATTTTTCCATTTGTTTCTCATATTTACACCTTACCTCCTGAACTAGAATTATAAGCACTGGAAGCTCAGATTAGATTAAAATCTTCTCAACCTCCCCACAGTTTTTAAAACAGTACTGGCCACAAAAATGGTACTTGAAAACACTTTTTTTGTGTTTTGTTTTGTTTGAGAATGAAATTGACTGAGAAATCTTAGCAGCCAAGAAAACTGCTTGAGCCAACATGTAGCTTCCCAAAGCAGCAGTCCTCCTGAGGGTCGGGGAAATATTCTATAGGAGAGGAGAGGGCAGCCACTTTGCTGGAAATAAGATGAAATCGAAATGGGATATTGACATGAAAAAAAATTGTAAGGGAAACGAAGGGCAAATCTTCATTGCAACATAAGAGTGGCCGCCAAGGTACCCTGTCAGGCAGAGGACATGGCATGGATACAAGCCGAGTCTTCCTCTCCGATCGGGAAAAGTATCGAGTGTTCATTCTATAAGAAGTCAACATATTAATTACCATAGACAAGAAGGATGGGAAGGTGTCATAGAACCAACCTCTTTCTCAGGATTGAAGCTTTTGTTTGCATTCATGGAGAGTATTCAGTTATTAGACATTATATGATCATCACTGCTTAAGGCAGGGGACTAAAAATGTTTTTATCTGATTATGATTAACTGCAAGCCAGCACTTCTACAGCAAACACCAAAC